ACTGGGCTAAGTGTTATACTTTGATAATTTAATCCTCATAACAACCTGTGTGGCCCCATTTTTCAGAGAAGGAAACTGAGGTTTAGAGAGTTTCAAGCCATAGACCAAGTTAGCACCCTTGGTTAGCATCAAGGCCAAGATTCATCCACAGGAGTCTGACTCCAGGCTTTGCTAGACTATTTAACAAGAAGAAACTTCAAAATTCCCAGATGAAAGAACCCTTTTCAAGTGTGTCCCTCCTATTTATTATAATATAGAGTGCATTTCACAAAATATATTCTGTGTAGTGTTGATTTAGTGGGATGAGAATAATGGGTTCCATAGGCAAAGAAGTTTGAGAAATGCTTTCTGAAGGGTATGTGTACAGGGCAATGAAACAGTAACTCTAAAAACCAAACAAGCCTCAGAAGAGTGCCTCAGTGTTTCACAGTGAGTCGGAGGTGATTTCAGAACATTCGGGATCAAACAGTGGGGAAAACTACAGCAGGAGCTGGTCTGCCAGGAAATGATTAAAAGCCAAGCAGTGCTGATTAGGCTGCAGGAAAAGACTGATGAAGGGTTAGTGACCTTTCTTCTAATTTCATCATAACAATAAGTACAATTTATTATGTGCAGATTACTTAAGTATCTTTTGTAATTTTCACTATTACGATCTCCCTTTCACAGATAAAATACTGAGTCCTAGAGAAGCTGCTGAAGTAGCTTCCCCTAAGGCCGCATAACTATTTAACGGCAATGCCGAATTTGAACCCAGTTCTACCGTCATGTCTTGTGATTTGAAACACTACCCACAAAGCTTCCAGGACTTGTGGTTTGCTCAGGGGCTCTCTGAGTGAGTGAATGTCCAAAGTGAAACCATCTCAAAGACTATACCCGGGAAAGCCTTGCATTGGTGATTCATGTTACAACACTGCCTTCATTTCGGTGCATCTCTTCAGCCTAAATTAGTTCTCTGGTCTGAGTACTAAACTGGAAGTTTCTTTCTGGCATTATTTACATTTCTTAATTGTACTATTATATTTTAAATTAACAGATCTCCACATTGTTGCATGATTCTTTTTTTTTTTTTGGATTTGTGTTGATGAGATGACATCCATCTGCCTAGAAGTGCACCCAGTCTGAGACCCTTCCTGGAGTCAGAGTGCGTCCTTGGTGAACTGCCTTAGTGGCCACTCTAAAACTAACAATTGACCAGAGTTTAAATTGTTGATGGTACCCACATCCAACTTCTCATTTTTCAATTTCCTCTTTCCTTTTCTTTTCAACAGATGTTGGTGCATTTTTTGAAGAAGGGATGTGGCTACGATACAACTTCCAGGCATCCGGGATCAGCGGCAAAGAGTCGGGCAGCAGATCGGAGAGCTCACCGGATCCACAGGGCCCACTGCCAGACCTGGCCCACGAGGAGATTCGGTTCAGCTTCAGTACCTCCAAGGCGCCCTGCATCCTCCTCTACGTCAGTTCTCTCACCACTGACTTCTTGGCGGTCCTCGTCAAACCCACCGGTAAGGACAAAGACAGCTAACCATTGACCTAAGCAGAGATGAGCTTTGAAGCAGTGAAATTAATTTTATATAAATCAATGAGTCATCCTGATTATGATAATGATCAATAGTTTCCTACAGAACATATATCTAGATGTTCAGTAGAATAGAGAACCAGAGAAATTTGCATTCCTAACCATTCTCAGGATTTCACATTCATAAAATATATCCCTAACATAAAGGTCACTTAAAACAGGGGTATATTTACATTTATAATATTGCGACCATCTTGATCTCTAGATATGCACTGAGCCAGAGAGGGTCAGACAGGTGGCTAAGACAGGCATCCTGGTGGCAATTTTGGGCATGGCCTTATGGCCTGACTTAGAGAGAAGTGTAAACCTTCCTAATGCGTATAAACTTGAGATCTAAGACACTTACAGATTTAAGATCACTTTTTTTCCTAATGAATATATTTTAGGTGTATCAAGGAGCGAATCTCTCTAACTCATTTCCCAGAGAGCTTGTGTAGCTGGCACTGTGGAGGTCCCTCTCTCATCGTCTTGCTCTTCAGTGGTTAGGCTCTGCAGCCTTCTTTGATGGTGACTGCAGGCAGTAACATCTGAAAGATCAAGGTCTTTTTCCAAGGGAACCAAGAATTATTATTAACATAATTCAGCTCGAGTTTTGAAAAATAGCAAATTCTTCAACTTGTTCTTTGGACAATACACTAAGTTTAAAAGATGGGTAAATAAATGCTAGGATTTTCCCTTTTAGAAATTACCCCTAAAATAATTAGCCAAAAATTAGATGGAAATTTAGCATGAAGGTGTCCATCATGGTGTTACCTCTAGGAATTAGAAAGGACTGAGAAGTTTAACTTGAGTAAAATTTTGGTTTGTGAAAGAGGGAATCACAATTTTATGCAATGTTATGTATCCATTAAGAGTTCTGTTCATAAAGAGTAATTAATGGCATGGAGAAAAATATTTTAGCAGTATCATGTTAAACCAAAAAAAAGGGGGCAAGATACAGTTTTGACTGTCCAATATCAGTCTAACTTTGTGAAAAATACTAGTATAGCCAGAAAAGCAATGTGAACCAGGTGTCCGTTTGGATGTTGTGCTGCTCCTGAGTAATACTCTTCTACACGCGTCAGTGCCCACACTGAGCAAGGATCCCTGTTCTAAATAGCAAAAATAATACAAGAACTCAGTGAGGAAGAAGGAAAAGGGACATAGCCCCTGCTTTCCAAGAGTTCATGAGTTAAGTTTACATCTCCTGGATCTGGCTAATAGATTTTTAACCCACTGATGTTGTCCAACTCAGTGGGCAGGGACAATGGTTCTCACATTTAGCTTGTCAAGAATTTAATGCACACAACCCAGTAGATGCTGTATTGTCTGTTCCTCAAGACATGGCCGTGCAAAAATGTGGTCCCCAACTGTATTCAGTAACTCAACAGCCAACACCCACCCTGAGAGCACACATGCTGGTGTTTGTGGGCATTCGTCACAGGCAAGGATTTTCATTTAATATCCGTCGCAGGCAAGGGTTTTCATTTAATAGTAAATTGATTTAATATCAGTGGCTACCATGGAATGATGCCCAAAGCATGCTAAGTGTTTCACAAGTATCCATTCCTTTAAACACACATCTTTGTGCCATAGACACTATTTTATCCCCTTTCTACAGGTGACCTGGGATACATAGGTTCAGTGACTTGCACACCCAGTGGGTGATGGCAAACCCAGGTTTCTAGGCCCGGATGCTGGTTCCAGGCCCAGAGCTCTGAGCTGCTCTCTCCACGCTGCAGAGACCGCAGGACCCTCTCAGTGCATTTGCAAAACATAGCCAGCTGGCTTCTGTCACCTTATCACAAGGCCATCCTCAAACTGCTGATGAAAATGTGGCTTTTTTACACTTCAAGTACTGACTTTTTTATTAACTGAGATATAAAGCAAAAAATTTTAAGGAAGTCATTTAGGGGAAAAAATCAATAAGGACCATGCCAAAATAATTTTTTAAAAAACTAAAATGTTTTAAATTAATGTCTTGGCACCCCTCTAACTCGACATAGTCGAGCTGTGTTCTCTTCACTGCTCCCCAGAGGCAGCTCCTCCCCCAGTTCTGACAGTGCTCTGACTCAGACACCCAGACTCACAGCCTGGTATCATCAATGCACATTCCACCCTTCCCCATCTTGTGGGCCCTCAGGCCAAACAGTCCTGTGGAGCTTGTGTTTGGGAGGCCACACCCAGCATCTTTAGCAGCCCTCGCCTCCCATAGGGCTCCTGGGACCCCGTTACCCCTTCATGGGACAGCAGGGCCCCTCCATGTGTCCACCAGGGTGCTCTGTCCCAACCCAGCTCTGCTTCCAGTCCCTTTCACCTTAACCTCCCACCACAGCCAGAGTGGGTCTTCCTTTATGCACAGTATCCCTATCATAGAAGGAGTAGTGCCTCCTTCTCCCCCCAAGACCACAGGAGAAATCCAAAATCCTGCAACCTTCCAACCGAGCCCTACCACCTGCCTCGTGGGGAAGAGCTCCAAGTGTGGAACCAGAATGCCAGGGTTTGAATTCAGAATCTGCCTTTGTGGGTCGTGAGATGCAAGTTTCCTATCTGTAAAATACTGTCTGCCGCATAGGGTGTTGTGAAAATCAATGTGTAAAGCACTTATTGCATGTAAATGTCAGAGGTTATTATTATCCACATCCACTGTCTTGTCACACATTCAGTGACAAAGGAATTTGTTCTACCCCAAGGGCTCTGTGGGCATCTGTGTTCCTGCCCATTCCATTCCCTTTTTTGGAAAAGCCCCGTCTTTTTCTCTGGTCTAAGACCTGCCTTTCTTTTTTCTTTTATTTTCTCTCTTTTTTTTCCAATTACAGTTCACATTCAATATCAGTTTGTATCTGTTTCAGGTATACAGCTTGATAGCTAGATAATCACATACTTTACAAAGTGTTCCTCCCAGTATTTCAATGTAGACCCAGGTCAAGTCTCATCTCCTTGCAGTGACGACTCCTTACTTTAAACTCCTGTTACTCTTATTTTCAATGTCATCTGCTTGGCACTTAGTGCCCTGTGTTGCTATCTGTCTTTGTTATAAGGACTCCCTGTCTTCCCAGCCCACAATAGGTGCCAGTATGTGAGTGTTTACAATGACAGTGGTGGCGACCAGGAGAGAGTAAATCTGGAAAGCACGTGAGTGGCGGAAGCCAGTGCAGGAGCAGTTCCTTAATGCTGCTATCATGCCCTCAGGAGATGAACACTTACGAATATTTTATTTTAATGAACAAATATTAATATTTCTCCCTATCATATTGTACTTCTCTTATGCTATTATTTGAAAGCAATCAATACAGCATTTGAACTTTATTATTCAAGAATATTGCTATTACGGTTTATAGATATTCATTATATATAATATAAAGATCCAACTCATCTTTTTTCTCAAAGCAAATAATTTCTGTTGCCATTGAGGGAAGCAGTTATAGACATCTTAAATCATATTTGCAAAGTTCAAGAAAGAGAAAAATAATTTTAAAAAACCACAACTGAATACTGATTTGAATGAGCTGGGGAACTTAAAGGGACCAACAGCAGAGAGAGTAGAGAGGAGAATGTCCAGTTTTTTGCATAATTACTGGTCCCTCTGAGCTCTGGCCGTCAAAGGCAGAGCCGTCTTTTACTTCTCTCTGTCTTCCCAGACCCAGGCACAGCCTGGCACACACTGGGGAACTGGGGCTGGTTGTATGAGAAGTGACTCAACACTTAGAGAAAAACAGACCCTGAAAAATTGGATTCACCAGTGCTCTGCACTTCACTAAATAAATGTTTTCTGAAGAAATGAATAAATAAGTGATGAATGAATGCAGCTACATGTTTAAGAAAGTTGGCTGAGATTATACAAGGTTAAAGCACCGGAAGGAAAGGGGAGTCAAGACAATCAACTTTCGGCATGTTGCTCAAGTAACCGCCTGCTCGTCTCCTTCACTCTGAAATATAGATTATTTTTAATGCTGTTAGGATAAAGGAAAAATAGGGTAAAACACTGAAGAATGGGGAAGAGAAGCAGGAAAAGGAAGCAGCATATTCAAAGGTCCTGAGGTAGGAAGGAGAATTTAATTTCTAGGGCATATGAGAAGTTGAAGGTAACAAATGTTAAAAGTGAGAAGGTAAATGGTATGATTTGAAAATAAAGTAACAGGCAGAACTCAGATCAGACAGGGCATCATAAGGTACATTAAGAATGTATGTCTTGCCCTAACCAGTTTGGCTCAGGGGGATAGAGCGTCAGCCTGCAGACTGAAGGGTCCCAGGTTCAATTCTGGTCAAGGGCATCTACCTTGGTTGCGGGCACATCCCCAGTAGGAGGTGTGCAGGAGGCAGCTGGTCAATGTTTCTCTCTCATCGGTGTTTCTAACTCTCTCTCTCCCTTCCTCTCTGTAAAAAATCAATAAAATGTATATTTATTTTTAAATAATGTATGTCTTCATCTTATGAGCAACTGGAAGACTTTGAAGAATGTTAAGTAAGCCATTGAAAGAATCAATTATGCATTTTGAAAAGACCTCTCTGCAGAGAAAACGTGGGAAAGAAAAAAGCACAGAAGCAGGGAGATCATCATTCATTCATTCATTCAATAAATATTTATTCACACCTACCAAGTATCAGACATTATACTCTACATTGGAATAATATCATAAATAATATATACAAAAGTCCTTGCTCTCATAAAACTTACATTTGAGCGGAAAAACACAGACAATAAAATAAGGACAATATGTAGTACATTGTATTATAAGAACTATAATAGGGGAAAAAATAAGGCAGAAAAGGGAGGGCCTGACCAACAGAAAGGCGTGGGTAAATTCTGCTTTTAATGAAAAAAACCACAGAAATAATCACTAAGAAGATGATATTTGAGCAAAGACCTCAAGGGGGTGAGAAGTCAGCCAGACAGATTACTGTGGGGTGAGCATCCTAGATGAAAGAATCAGCAAGTGCAGAGGTCCGGAGGCAGGAATATGCTGGCTTCTAGAGAAACAGCAAGGAGGCTACAGTGAGCAAGGAGGGGAATAATAAGAGATTATGTCAGAAGTGATAGTGGAAGATCATATAGGGCCTAGAGAGCCATTATGAAAACTCCCATTTTTACTACAGGTGAGATAGGAGGAAGGCATTGGAAGGTTCTGAGCAGGGGATCACTTGAAGTATCAGGTGGAGAGGAGACGGGTCTGTGAGGGGCAGAGACCAGGGTGGGGAAGGTGAGGGTAGTGCAGAATCAAGAGGTTAGCATGGAGGCTAGTACAGTAATTCAGGCCAAATATGGTGGTGGCTTGGTCTGAGGGTAGGAATCCTATCTAATAAAAGACAAAAAGGGTAATTGACCGGACCTTCGCTACGCTTCCCATTGGCTAATCAGGGTGATATGCAAATTAACCGCCAACAAAGATGGCGGTTGGCAGCCACGCAGCTGAAGCGAGCAGGAGGCTTGCTTGCTCCAGTGATGGAGAAAGCCAAGGTTCCCCGCTTGCCGCGGCCCAGCTCTGAGCCCTGAAAGCAACTAAGTTTCGATTATAGAAGCTAAACAAACCCCAGATACCTACTTTCAGCTGGCTGTGGCCATGGAGCTGGAACGAGTAGGAGCAGGCTCTTAGCTCCAGTGACGGCAACATAGTTTCAATTATAGAAGGTAAATAAATCCCAGAATAAAAAGAAAAGAAAAAAAGGAAAGGCTGGGAGCTTCAGTTGCTGGCCAGCCTGAAAACAACCCTCAGCCCCTCACCCAGGCTGGCCAGGCACCCCAGCGGGACCCCCACCCTGATCCGGGACACCCTTCAAGTGGATATCCCCTGAGGGCTTCCAGGCTGCCAGAGGGATGTCTGATTGCCAGCTTAGGTGCGATTCCCCCGGGGAGCAGGCCTAAGCCAGCAGGTGGTCATCCCCCGAGGGGTCCCAGACTGTGAGAGGGCACAGGCCGGGCTGAGGGACCCCTCCTCCCCTGAGTGCACAAATTTTTGTGCACCGGGCCTCTAGTGGTGATTATAAAAAGCAATAAGATTTGAGGTATATTTTGAAGAGCCAAGATTTGCTGACAGACCATACAAGTAATCTAGAAGGAAGAGGGGAGTTGGATCTTTTGGCAGGAGTAGCTGGAGGGATGAAGGAAAATGTGTGGAAAATTGCAGTGGAATATTTGGGGTCTGGGGGTGGGGGTTTGGTAAGATCAAGAGTCGGATTTTGCATCCATTGTGTTTGAGATGTCAATAAGAGAATGGGAAGAGCAGAGAAACAGGGGACTCACTGGAGAGTGAGGTGAGGTCAAGTTAGTCACTGATATGGAGTGGCCCACACAAGGCACCAGGGCCGAGGGTTTCTGATGGAGCTGAGATAGCAGAGGAGTAGTTCTTATGTGTTTCACATGGGGCATTCCAAGCACCGTGGAGCCCCTGTGGGTACAGAGATGAAGAAGAATGGGGAAATTTAGACACATTTCATAGATGAAAACCAACAATGTTTGATTGAAATGCTGTGAGCAAAGGGATCTAGAGTAAATACTAAGGTAAATCTCAGAACTAGTGAAGGTTTGTTGAATTCGCTTTGAAAGCAAAAATAGGAAATGCAATTCATTCTTGATTGTCCTAATGAACGTTTCTTTCAACTCTGGGAACTTGGCAGAATATTTTAAGTAGCACTTGTAATGCTGGAATGCCTAGATGAGGAAAGGCAGCATTTAGAAACTATTGCATTTATTTGTGTATATATTAGAGCATGAGAAATATCTGGAAGGTGATATGGCCAGAGAGTTAGAGTTGTTATCCTGGGATGGTGAGGTTTCCAATGACTTTATTTTTTTATTTCTGTGTACTAAATTTTAATTATTATGTTTTATTTCACAACTTAAAAATCAGAATATCAGTTGTGTTCCTGTAGAAGGTGCATGAGAGAGGCCACAAGGAATCCATGAGGTGATTTGCAATTGGTCAGACTCCATGTTTTAACCTCAGAGATGTTAGCTATTAAAATGAAGATTCCAATTTGAGTGAAAAATGAGATAAAAATATTGGTCTTTAAAAATCATAAATAAGACATAAAAGTAATGTTTGCCATGCAGATTAATTAAAAACAGATCTAGAATATTACATGAGTCTTCTTGAATATTGTTTGTCATTATTGGGAAGAAACAAGGAGGGGAAAAAAGAATAATTCATCCAGTCAAAGTGAGCTTTCACAGAGGGGACCAGGACCCAGGGCCCGGGAAGCCCACCATTTCCTTTGTTTTGCATTTGGATTGAAGCAATCTCTAACCTCAAATAAAAGTAATTGCTTTGCTCCCTTAGTGTCAGCAAAGCCACCCCAAATCCCATATGTTTATCTTTTATAAGTTATGTTTGTTTTTAATACTGTATGCTCATGATTCTTTCATACTCCAAATGGCATGCTTTGCCGATGCTGTGAGACTGTCCCTGTACCCTGCATTTATTTTTTACTTCAGAGTATTTTGTGGGCCTCCACATTCCTATATTGTATATATTTTCATTATTCCTTCCCAGGCACACTCCCATCTTGGATCATTTTATACCTTTTGCTGCTTCAACTTTGAGATCATGGTCACTGATGGCTCACTGTTGGTAGATCGTAAACCCGAGGTGCCAGGTGTCGTTAACCCTCATGTGCCTCGGAGCTAGTGACTCAGAATTCAGAATGGCAGATGTAATTGATGGACATCAAAGGAGGAAGCAGGGTTCAATGCAAACCTAAGTGTCAAGGATTGGGAGAAGTTTTATTAAAATGAAACCTGGAAAAAAATTACTGAGTTTTTTTCCTATCCCTTATATAGGAAACTTACAGATTCGCTACAACCTGGGTGGCACCAGAGAGCCATATAATATCGATGTGGACCACAGGAACGTGGCCAATGGACAACCCCACAGTGTGAACATCACCCGTCACGAGAAGACCATACTGCTCAAGGTATTCATATGTGTGCATATCAATTGTATATGATATAGTATGATAACCTCTGTAATACTTGGCCATTGGTTTTATTTGGTTTTGTTTTGGAGGTGGGGCAGATGGAAGAAATGCATGCTCATACTTTCTCCTACAGATTCCTAATTAGTGAAGTAGAAAGATACATAATTCTTCTAGCAAAGACAACTGATGTTAATGAAATTTCATAGGGAGAAGCTAGAATAAATGTTGACTCTGTATATTCTCGTAGCTTTCCTCCTGTGGTCCACACAGCCATCAGTCTACTGAAGCGGTTCTCAACCTGTGGGTTGAAACCCCTTTGGGGGTCGAACAACCCTTTCACAGGGGTCGCCTAAGACCATCAGAAAACACATATATAATTATATATTGTTTTTGTGATTAATCACTATGCTTTAATTATGTTCAATTTGTAACGATGAAAATACATCCTGCATATCAGATATTTACATTATGATTCATAACAGTAGCAAAATTACAGTTATGAAATAGCTATGAAAATAATTTTATGGTTGGGGGTCACCACAACATGAGGAACTGTATTAAAGGGCCGTGGCATTAGGAAGGTTGAGAACCACTGGCTACTGTTTTTCTTCACGACACCATCTTTTTCCTCCATGCGCTCGGATGTCTGAGGCTTAACGCATTCCCAGCAAAGGCTACTGTGGTTTATCTGACCTATTTCCTTCACTCTTCCGACATGATATGCATAACTGTATTTTTTTGTCTCTGTGGATGCTTTGTCTTAAAAATCTTCAGAACACAAACCTTCCACAGAATCTCAGACCCTACTTGTAGACTCTTAGCACACAAAGGGATGGTTTTATCATGACACTTGAATTTTATGTCAGGTTCATTGTATTATCCCTACTCCTACCACCGATTTTTACAATAAAGAAACCAGCCTGGGAGGCACCATGAATAAAACAGAGCATGAAGAGGTCTCCCTGGGAACCAAGCCAAAAGATCAAGGATGGGAACTGTCACTGCCTTCGCTAGGAGTTCAGAATAGATACCTGTCGGCAGGAAGAACTGCGGGGGTGCTGTTCTGTCAGTGGAGTGGAGTGTCCTCTGGCAGGGGTTCAGCCGCCTCTCGGACCTCGTTCAGATTCGGCTACTTGCCGAGGGAAGTGCAGGTTGTAAGAAAAGGCGCAGCCCTGTCTCTTTCTGAGCACAGATGGATGTCAAATTCATAACTTGATATGGAGTTTATGCTTGGCCTATAGTCATCAATGCTTGAGGGTATTTTCAGGATAGGTCTTTCCTAGGAAAAAATGACAACAGGAAGTTACAGCTTATTGTGCAGTCAAACGTAGTATAAATAAGGTGACTTCACAGTGACAGACAGAGTCTCTGTGCCTAGCTAAGTGCCTGGCACATAGTAGGTCCTGCAAATTATTTACTAAGTAAGCCAAGCCCATCTGTATCCATAACTCCTGGTTCATAGCACTTTATCAACATTGTGTTTATTGGCTTTTCATTGGAGACATTCTCTTGTTTTAAACCATGCCATCTGTCATCTCTTTTGAAGTAAGTGATTTATCTTGCCATTTTACCATTGCAAAATAATATTAAAAGATAAAAAGAGCTCAGTAATTGACTCTAAAGACAGTATAACAGAGGAGACCTGCCACAGCTGTAGACTCATGCAAGGCTAACCCTCACTCTCTCCAAGAAAATGCCTGTTTATTAGATGAGCCCTATGGGTTACAGAACCACAGGCAAAGATGAGGATGGGGTGAGTGGGAGTAAGGGTAGAGGGATAGGCTAAATAATTCCATTTCTGGATATATTTCCCAAAATGAGAGTTTGGAGTTAGGGTAGATTAAGAAGGACTTCCTTCTGGTACATTCCATTAAGTCCTGCATGCCCCACACTGGGGATTGAGCCCACAACCCAGGCATGTGCTCTGACCGGGAATTAAACTATGACCTCCTGGTTCATAGGTCAGTGTTCAACCACTAAGCCACGCTGTCTGGGCTAACCAGCAACTCTTTAAGAACAAATATCAGCTTAATCAGAGCGGCAGTCTGCCACAGCAAATTAGAACGGGGCAGACTGTTTTCAGAACCTGGGGCTTTAGCACCTGGAAAGCCAGGGAAATTCGGATAGTGGATAAGACAGACAGCTGAGAACCCAGGGAACTGAGGAGACCCTGGAAAGAGTCTGTTCCCATTGTTCAGGGTTATTTGGTTGCCAGTAACCAAAGACCGATTCAAAATTCATTTGTAGGAAGAATTCCTGAAGTCAGTCCTGGAATTTAAGAAAGAGAAAACCAAAATGTTAGAAGAGATTCCAGGGGAGCAGAAGGAGCAAAACAAAGACTAGAATGCCATTGAAGCCTCTCTCTCTCTCCACCCCTATTCCTCTCTCCCTTCCGCACTCCCACCCTCATCATCTCTGCTTGTCCATCCCTCTGTGAGGACTGCATGAATACCTCTCACTGCAGCCTCCATCCTTCACATATTCCCAGACACAGGCTCACATCTTCCTGGTTTTGCTAACAGAGAAAGGCTCTAGTTTCTTGGTTCTCTTTTTTAAACCCCAGGGACAGTCCTGGCTTGGGTCACATGCTGGCCCTTTTGCAGGGACAATGACTGGTAGCCCCTAATCAAATCTCATGACTAGAGTGGGGAGTTGGGGAGAATCCTCCAAGAGAACAGAGCCACAGCCCCAGAGAAAGGAAACAAGATTGCTATGGAAAGCATGGGCTGTTCAGTGCTCTGAGGTCAGGGAAGAGAGTGTAGAACAAAGTCTGCCATAGGAATCACACCCAGAGTATTGGAAAGCCCTGCTCTCTGTCCTCCTTCTGTAAACAATGCCGTGCAATTGCACTGAGATTTCCGAACGTGTTTAGAAAGCCAGATGTCTCAACACGCTTGAATTCATCTGGGAAAGACTTTGTGGTCAGAGTGCTTTGTTGTTCTCAGCCCAGCCTCTCAGTGCTAGCCCAGATCGCACATGGAGGCGCTGTGGGTGGTGAAAACATCACCAGGTAGTTGGGTCAGACCAGTCCTGGGTTCAGCAACCTCAGTATTCCAGAGGGAGATCGCAATAGAATATTCAGGAGTTTTCCAGGAGTGTCTTTTCAGAGTCTAGCTCTCCACTGATTGATTGGTCAGTGCCAGGGCATGGGGTCATTATCCTATGCAACTGATCCTGAGGTCACCTGTGTGGTTACTTGTCTGATTTTGTTGCTTTTCTGGTCCTGGAGCTGAAGTACAACTGAGTCCTAGATGTTATCTCTAGGGAGGAAATGTCAGGGGATCCAAACCGAAGGACCAGCAATATGCTAGGGAGAGAGGTCCACCCTACAGTTATCCTATGTTGCTAGGGAGAGAGGTCCACCCTACAGTTATCCTTTGTTAGGCACCTGGGACTTTCCATCCTGGTGACCTTCTGCGTAGGGGAGGAAAATTCACTCTGGGAGCAAGGTCCCACCCTACAATTTATTGTTCATTGCTAGGCACCTGGGGCTTTCCATCCTGGTGACCTTCTGCACCTAGCCCGTCACCCTTGCTCTGCTCATGTCTGTCAACTGCCTAGCACAAAGGTAGAGATGGTGGAAGAAGAAAAGATGTGGCTCCTCTGTGGAAAAGTAGGTCAGGCCAGCTCCTGCCCTTCCTTATTTCAGGCAGGGAGGCCTTGCAGAGCACGGGAGTCATCCCAAAAGGACCTTTAGAACTCTAAAAACTTTGATTTATTTTTCCTGAAACATCTTGAGAACTTCTACAACCTTAAGGATGTATGGAGAGAGATACAATAAAATGTTAATTACAACTACTTCTGTGTAAAGGGGTTGCAAATAGTTTAATTTCCTCTAGAGCAGCAGTTCTCAACCTGTGGGTCGCGACCCCTTTGGAGGTCAAATGACCCTTTCACAGGGGTTGCCTAAGACCATCGGAAAACACATATATAATTACATATTGCTTTTATGATTAATCACTATGCTTTAATTATGTTCAATTTGTAACAATGAAATTGGGGGTCACCACAACATGAGGAACTGTATTAAAGGGTTGCGGCATTAGGAAGGTTGAGAACCACTGCTCTAGAGTTTTCTATATTCCCTCATTGTCTACTAGAAGCATATGTTGCATTTTATAATCAAACAAAAATATAAAGCATCCATATATCCTCAACCTATTCCCCAGTTACAGTAAAATAAAATGACACAGATATTTAAATAATGTCAAAGTAACATGTACGTTTAATCAAAGAACAGAAGGCTAATTCAAAGATGAGTTTTAAAGTACTATAGAATAATGTCTTTGGAATTAAGGTGAAATTTTATACATTTATATATACTCAGATATCCTATAATTTAGATACTGTTTATCTGTGTTTATGATGTTTTTAAAAGCAGATTTACTTGCCTAGCAGGGTTTGACCAAAGCTAACATGAAGCTAATTTGCATTCCCTGAGCACACACCCTGGTGCTGAGCACTTGAGGGAAATTGACCTTGGGTAAAACATTTGCTTCCAAAAAACAACGTGCCTCATCTCCACATAGATAATGAAGAACTGGTTCCAGGAGTTGTCAGACACCAGCATGAACCAGAACCCGTGACAACCCTCAAGTGGCATCATTTGTGAAAACTCACAGTTGCACCAGGGATAATAGCTAAAGGCTTAATGCCAGTCAAAATGTAAAACAAACCCCGGGAGGCAGAGAGCACCTGAAAAAGTACTGTACATGATGAAAAATCATGCTGATTAGCATGCATCCAAGAGCTGAACATCACAATGACTAATTTCAACATCTTGTATCACAAATCCTTTCTTTCTATTCTCCTTTCTTCCTGCTATCCATGGCGTTTTTCTTCTTTGTTCCCTTTTATCCCAACCACATTGCACAAAGGATCTAAGGTTTATAGGGGAACATAAAATGAAATTGAAAATTAAAGTAAGTCACAAAAAGTAGGGCTCCAAGACAAGAGGAAAATAGATCGTATTTACCCAGGTCATAGTTCTCACCCAT